GGGACACGCGTGCCGAGATCCGAACTGCGTGCCAAAACCCACCCACATGGACACCTGGTTCTAGTCGAAAGTTAACACTACAGGCAAGGTACAGTAGTAAAGACACAATCATCTACATCACCGTCACGGGCGCTTTCATCGTAGTCATGTAACCGTCATCAGAGTCGCAACAATCATCACCATGGTCCTTCAGATCATTGTCGGCGTCAAGAAACGCACGCCAACAATGCACCCGAGCCTGGATAGCTTTGGGCTGGGGGCGCCCGAACCTGAGAGGCAAGTCGCTCAAATTGGACCGAGCTTATAGCACTTGCAGGTCTGTTCGCTGGGATGTAGGATTTGCGGCACGTTCATGGGTGAAGGCAGCGATTTTGTGGCTTTGGGTTCGAGCTCTTCTCCTTCATACTTATGGACCCGATCTTCAGATCCCCGACAGCTTGAGACCGCTAAAGTTTGGAGACCGAGTCTTGAGGGGTTTGCTGCTTCGGGTCGTGGTGGTTCGAGCTTAGGTGCGCACTTGCCAAGAGTCGAGTATACGGAAGATGTGAGGCAGGAGCTATTTTGGCGGGCTGCTGTCAGGGCACAAGGCGTGGAGCGGAAGAAAGTGCGTCAATCCCGAGCACGAAAACCTGCACTCCGAACTGCCTGACTCAGAGATCTGAGGCTCAAGACCGAAAAGTTCAAACCCGGCATATTGACATCAAATAGGCCCAAAGCCGACCTTCAAGAGCATGGAGTGGCAGAAGCTAGTACGAGCAGTAAGTAGCACTGGCTCACGGACTCAATGCTCTAGGCGTTGTGACTACCGCTACAAGTCAGTGCCAAGGTTACTGCGACTGGAAGCTCCAACAACCGCCAGTGCAGTCGGAGGTCGGGTTAGCACTTGCGGTGATCGGCTGCTGCGGAGGGCGATTGGAGGCCTCACCGAGGAGCTCTGGTTCAAGGCACCAGGAACGAAAGTGTCATCTCCCAGGAGAAAAGTCAAGTAGGTGTTTGTACGCTATGTGTGGACAGATATGCTCACCACAAAGATCCATGCTGTTCCCTGCAACAATCCCCAATCCCCAACTCCCCAGCTTCAGGTTCAAGTTCAACCTGCAGGGCTTCTGGGTCCCCGGGACTCAGGAGCGCTTGAACCATATGCACAGGACGGCGCATCAGTATCCCTCTCCCTGCACACTAGATGCCGGAAGCCCTGGAGAGCTAAGCCCGTATAAACCGCAGTAGAGCGACCGACAACCCAACAACGACGTTGAGCATCGAAAGAATCGCAAAGGCCGAGACTCAGAACACGCTCGAAGCAAAGCCATCTAAGCAAAGCGCAATACTTGAGACCCAATTATGTGCAGGAGTATAACGAAACGCCATGAATTTGTGCGGGCCGACGACATCATGTTGAAATGCAGGAAGCTCGAAGGAATAAAATTGATGCTGCAAAATACAGAAACTGAAAAACATGACCTCCCTTCCCCTCTTCGCGGCCTTGGGAGGGGGACGGGCGAAGGGATTTCCAGTCGCCTGCAAGCATGGAAGACGGTCCACAACGTTTGGTAGGTCATCAGGTCGTTTAGTCCAGGTTTCTGGCGGGGCGCGGTCTCAGGTCTTGGGGCTGAGAGATGGTCTGTGCTCTCGGGCAAAAGATTTGTCGACAGCAGGTTACGGGCTTGTCCGCGGTCTTGTCCGCTGTCTGATGTGGTTTGCGGGTTCACTCGTGAGATTTCCACACCTTCGTGCAGGAGCCGCTAGCTCTCGCTAAATAGTGCCTTCTGTTCAGGTCCATGTCCTTTTGCAGTCTCCAAGGCACACATAATCAGCAGTGAAGACATGTGAGGTCAGGTCAGCTCCAGCATGCATGCCAACGATCACAGCTCACGCCCAAAATGGAAAGCATCGTGCCACACACTGCGAAACTCCGAAAACCTTGTATCAAACTCCTACCACAGCTCACTCGTCACTGCAAACAAGATTCTGAAAACCCAGAGGCCACATGCACAAATCTAGACTTCTAAGCGCAAGGTCAAGGTGCTGCGCTTAAGGTGCCTGAAGGTTGTGGTGTGCGGCTTTGATTCCATTTACGCTACCCGAAACCTCGAGTGGGTTCCAGGAGGTTTATCACTACAAAACGTCTCAGCAACAAGACATGGTCTGGAGCTTTTATTAAGCATGCCTGATGAACCGGTGATCGGGGTTTAGGACCTCGGCTCGTCTTCAAGAATACCCACCAGAGATTAACAACCCTGAACCCGAAACACCCTTGATAACCTGGAGAAAACCCCAGAAAACTGCGCCTTCTCAGCCTCCGGAGCCTCGCAGCAAGTCGCAGTTCGATTCGGTTGGAAGATTGGGCTTTTTTGAAAACTGCAGCACAGTTCAGTTTCGCAGTACTTATAAGGCTTAGGCGGTTTTGCCTTGGGTTTTAGGGGTTCCTGCTCAGGTCGTTCGTATAAATGCATGAGTCCCATGCGATGCCATGATAACGTTGAACCCATCCGCTTGAAACCCTTGGACCGAGACCGTCTCTCAAACAACCCGTGCCATGAGGCACGGGCACATTATATCCTTTACCAGTAGTTTCGGTTGAAGCTTAGCCTTGCGAAGTGAAGCTCAGGCAACATCTAATATCCCAGCGTAGGAGCCGTGATTCAGTGATAACGTACCGAAAACCTGATTTCTGTTCTTTCACACACACACACACACACACCGAAACTCCGAAGACTAGACCCGAAATGCTGAATTACAACATTCCAAACCGATAATCACATCCCCTGAACCTGTAACTCGCTTCCTTGAGGCTGGATCTCTCAACCCATTCTAAATTCCATGAGCCTCAAACTCTCAAGTCGCTCCCTGCGAGCAAACAAACTCCTTACGCCGCCGAAGCCTAAATTAAAACCCCTATGACAACTCAGATCTCTAACCTTGAGAAAAATTCTTCTAAGCCCTCAGGAAAAGCAAGTTCCCTAAGAAGAACCCAGTTCTTCCACAAGACTCCATCTCCGCACCTGGGAGCCGTTTGCCACCTTCGCGGCACTGGCATCCTGGCATTTAGCTTAAGATTCGGAGGGGATGGGTGGGGACACAGGGGGCTGTCAATGTTTCTGTCTGCCTGTCTATCTCTATCTCTTTATGTATGTATCCATCTGTTTATCTGCCGATCTGTCTCGTCTATCTGTCTATCTGTCTCTGTCTATCTATCTGTTTATCTGCCTCTCCGTCTGTTTGTCTATCTGTCTGTCCGTCTACCCGTCTATCCGTCTAACCGTCTAGCGGCCTTGCTATTTATCAATCTCCCGATCTGCATCTCTATCTAACTACAGAGAAATACAGATGTCATTACACATCTAGAATCTTGTGTGTGTGTACGAGTATGTATGCGTGCATGTATGCATGTGTATGTACATACATACATACATACATACACACATGCATACATACATACATACATATATACATACATACACATGAACATGCACATATACACATACATTTACATATAATTACATACACACATATATATATATATACAAACACATATATTTGCATATACAGATGCAGATACAAATATGTATACATACATTTCAGAGAGAGAGAGAGAGAGAGAGAAAGAGAGTTAGAGAGAGAACTCGGGCGTAGGGGGTCTGGGTTTACACTCATGCGTACTAACGGACAGAAACGAAGAACATGTGCGTAGACAGTTACACATACACATACCGGGGGGTTTGCTTTCGGCGTGGGCTTATTCGGGCTTATGCATATACGTACAAACACTCAGATGCTACAACCGGCGTACAACTCCACACGCCATAGGTATGCGCTATACCACCGCACCAGGTCCGAAAATGAGTAGGCCATGGGCATCGTGGCTCCAGCGATTGGAGAGATACGACTGGCACCACAAACCAAAGAAGAATGTCAGCCAACATTCTTTCGAATGCGTAGGATTCTGCTTGGTGTCCTTCATGTTTGTACTGCCACACCCTGCTTCTCTCGTCATGACGACATATCTTCGGCAACAGGCTTCACAGTGTTCTAGTGGCTGGCAAGCTTCAGACTCTTATTCGATTCGTTGCGCCTGGCATTGCAGGACTTCTTCAACGACTGCTTCTTGCTTGCTTGGCCGCTTGGTCTGAGGCAAATGATTGCAGCGACCCACTGCGGCGAACCACTCTGAAAGCCCACAGAGGAGCAATGGAGACAGGGTCATGGTCTTGATTGTTACTGTTGCTACTATATATTACTAGTAGCAGTTCTGGCTTATATTGGTATCATTCTTCTTCTTCTTACTATTACTATTAATAGTAAGACTGTGTATTGTTGCTGCTGTTGGTAGCAACTACTTTCGTTATTTTCTCATTTTTTGGTACTGTATCATGAGTTACGACTGTGATTAATATCACGGTCATTACCATCATGACTACCATCGCTATTACTGTTGTAAGTAACTATGAACTTAAGGCATGAATCCTCAAGCTCTGAACTGCTCGTATCTCGAGAGCCCTAATTCTCAACTTCTTAGGTATGAACTGCGGCCTGCCAAAGAAGCCCTCACATCGCGAACTCTGCACATTTTGAGGTCAAACGACTAAGTTGTTCAATCCCCATGCATGCACAGCTGTGTACTTGGAGGTGCATCAGACGCGCAGGTAAACTCAAACGACAAAGATTTCCGCAAAAAAAGTGCGGTCAGGAACGAACAAGACCACACCTCTTGACTTTGTCCATGAGTCTGTTTATCTTTGCCTGCATGCGAGTGTACACCATATATATGTATATATAGACAGATAAATAAATATACATATATACATATATAGAGGGAGAGAGGGATAGAGATAGAAAGAAAGAAGGAGAGATTGAGGGAGAGAGAGGGGGGCAGAGATAGACATGGAGAGGTTCGAGCACCGAAACAAAGAGAGCCAGGGAAATGAGGGGGAGGCAGATGAAAGAAGAGTGAGACAACATGAGCAACATAAAGGCTCACAACCCCTGCGGCCCGTCCTCCTTCATCTTGTCCTTAGCTGTCTGGCAATGTGTAGCAAAATGCAGCAAATGAGGCTGTGTGTCTCAAGCTTGCAGCCAAGAGCAAGGCCCCAATTTAGGCAAGCGGCATTGTTGAACAGTGACGAGCCCCCATTCAAGGATGATGGGGTTTGCATGGGGGTAGGAATCTGTTCCGGCGTAGCCGGTGCCGGGTTAGGCACAGGGGGTTGCATGGGTACAGCCTCTGGGACCGCATGTGCCATCTCAGGGGTGGTGGGCATGGGAGTCGCCGCAGAATTGACACCGAAAAGGCCCGGTGCTGTTGAAAGCGGTGCGGTTACGGCTGGTGTTGGCACAGGCTCGGGGGTGGTTTGCCTCGCTGCCGCAAAGGGGTCCTTGGCATTTGCCATCTCAGGGGTGGTGGGCATGGGAGTCGCCATAGAGTTGGCACCGAAAAGGCCCGGTGCTGTTGAAAGCGGTGTGGTTACGGCTGGTGTTGGCACAGGCTCGGGGGTGGTTTGCCTTGCTGCCGCAAAGGGGTCCTTGGCATTTGCCATCTCAGGGGTGGTGGGCATGGGAGTCGCCGTAGAGTTGGCACCGAAAAGGCCTGGTGCGGATGCGGCTGATGTCGGCTCTGGCATAGGCTGGGCCGGCACAGGGGCCTGCACAGGAATAGGCACAGGGGCCTGCACGGGAACAGGCACAGGGGCCTGCACGGGAACAGGCATGGGGGCCTGCACAGGCACAGGGGCCTGCACGGGAACAGGCATGGGGGCCTGCACAGGAACAGGCACCGGGGCCTGCACAGGAACAGGTTGCACCACCGGGGGCTCGGAATTGATTAGGTTTGGATTCAAAGGAGTTGGTACGGCCCTGAGGGTGTGCACCGAGTTGTGTGGCACTCCTTGGTTGACATTGGGGACGACACCATTGTTGCCATGGGCACCATCCTCAGCTGCGAAGGCATGGCGTGCTAATCCCCTGTAAGCCGTAGAACGACTCTCTGCTGAACAGGCAAGCCAAGACACCATCTCTCCTGCTGCAATCTCAAGCAAATCCTGCACATTGGTGGGTGAACTGGGAAGTAAGTCTACAAGCAAATCTCTATGGCCTGGGCGCTGAAGCACTCTAAGTCAGAAGCCGCCAGCCTCAATTCCCTTGCTCGGGCCAAACGATTTTCACTATTCGAGAGATCTGAAACTGCAACCTCCCGGACGACCAGCCCCGCTTCTCCTTCGAATGGCATCTTCAGTGCTTACGCTTCCGAAGATCAATATACATATACCAGTACATATACAAATACGTACACATATACATATACTAGAAAGTGTTTGCGTGTATATATATATATATATATGCATATATATATATATATATATATATACACCTAAGGAGTACTTTCGATGGAGATTCATGAACCTTAAACCCTTGAGTCTCGGATCCTTCAGCGCCAGGAGCATCTCCTCGTCCATCGATCTCCGGTCCTGGCACATGTGCTCCTAAAGCAGCTTAATTGGGAGTTTCCGAAAATTAGGGGTACCTATTCTGGGGTCCTTTAATAAGGATCCTACAATTTAGGGTACCACATTAGGGTCCCCGATTTTCGGAAACCCCCAATTCAAGATGGGATAATGCAATGTGCGATCGTACATTGTATGAAACAAAACCAAGTATAGACGAATGATCATCTAAGCTATTACAATGTAGTATGATGTATCATGACAGCATATGACATCGCACATTGCCGCTACAAAAAAGAATACAGATTGAGTAGATGTTGTAAACTATAATTAACATAACATGAAAGAATGTACTGCAACATCGTGAGATGATGGTACTAGAATACGAGATAATACCATAGTAGAGTATGAAACAATATAAGCATACTACTTTATGACATGATATGGCATATTGAACTATAATATCACATGGTAGAACAGACTGGGCTGAGACTAGCTATAACAGAGTAGGACAGAAGCCAAATGAATTAACACTGTAAAACAATAACATATGACACAATGGAACATAAGCATTATGTAGTGGGTAACAAACGATTACACACATACATAAGGAAAAAATCATGTGTGTAGACTATACAGTATATGGTACATAGCATAGTATAGTACAGTATAGCATAGCATAGTATAGTGTATATGTAATTATGCATGTATGTATATTTAGTAGACACAGTTAATTATACACGCAATTCCAGAAGGTAAAGAGACCTGAACTGATAAAGATCCCATGCGCACATAAATCCTTCTCTGACTAAGGTTGTCGTAGAAAGACTAGAGTTTTGGAGTAAGGGTAAGGGCTCCGGAGGCACGATCAAATGGGAAGGCCCCTCTGAAGGGCTGCTCAAGACAATTAGCACTTAGAACTCATATTATCCGGCTGATGCAACGACAGTCCGAGGTCTGGCTTCCATTGCATGTCGCATCCTCGGGCAGGAGTGGTACTTACATGAGTCTAGGTGTCCCTAGTTTTCAGAACCCTTCGCCTTCGCCCATCGCCCCCCGTTCACTCCAAGAAAAGCCGCCCGACCACGGGCCTGCTGCGCCTGTCGCATCTCTGCAAAACCTTGTGCTGCCTCTTTCTGACTGCGCTGGAGATCCGAGGAGATCTGCGCCACATTCCTGCGGGGAAGGTTTGATGCTCCTGCGATAAGACTATTAGGGAATAGACCTTACGGGCTTTGCAGCCATAAGTCATAAGCGAGATGACACGGCACACCTCACGCCTAGATTGCTCCGAAACTGCATCAATATTTGTCTGTACTGTACAAGAGTCCGCTACCCCATCAGAATGAAGTCCCACGCGCAATGCTTGTGAGTGTGTATTTCATCTGCCATAGATGCACGGCTTGCAAGGTCGGGGAGCCCTATGCAAACGTTGAAGCCGAAACCTCGACAGACTGATCCTGTCCGCTTGTCGGGTGTATAGGACAGACTTCAGGATTCTATAGGGTCTTTGCGTGCCGCTCCTGAGCTTTTAAGCACATCTATGCCCTATAAACGTTCAATAAACCTCTCAACTCTACACCCTTCAGCCTCAACCTCGAAGCTCTCAAGCTTGAATCCTGGAACTCTAAACTCTGATGCCACAAAGTTCTTCAGCCGCAAACACAGAATCCTTCTGCATGATTGCAGCAAATTCCTTTGCAAATTGGTGTCCCCGGAACTTAATCGCTTCACCTTGTCTTAAACACCCCCCTTGTAATAGAAACGCATTGTGGCGATTCCTCCCGAAATCATCCCTGCCCTTGTTAACCTATTCTGAAGTAGGGTCAGCAACAGCAAGAGCAAAAGCAGGAGCATCAGCCAGAGCAAGAGCAAAGCAAAAGCAAGAGAGGGAGTACGAGCCAGAGTGGGAGCAAAGGCGGTAGCAAGAGCAAGAGTGGTAGCAGGCGCAAGAGACGCAGCAGAAGCAGGAGCAAGAGCCGGCGCGGGAGCAAGAGACGCAGCAGAAGCAGGGGCAAAAGACAGCGCGGGAGCAAGCGCCAGAGCAGGAGCAAGAGCACGACCCCTCAATAGTGGCAGTAGCGAGAAAAAGACCCCCTAATAGCAAAAACACTTTCCGAGTCTCTACTGGGCCCCCCCTTTAATCTTAGGGGGAAAGGATTAGTGTGTTCGAGTTTCGGTTGGGGCTCCATAGGGTTTCAGTGTATAAAGTGAGGTCTAGAAGCAACCTAAGCCAGATGAACAGCCTGCACCCCGCTTCCTCAAGCCTAATTAAACCCCCTACTAAGCCCGAAAAATAAGCCCTAAATCTCACTAAACCCTGAACTTAAACCCAAGACCCCATTCAAAATCTTCCACCCGCCTCTGAAGCGCTTCGATCTGTTTCGTCAGCGGCGAAAGGTCTACCGACGCCTTCGGGCCTTGGCATTCAGACAACAGCAGGGAATCCTAAAACTAGGGTTACCTTCTTCAGCTTCAGGACCCTGATTTTTCAGGGTCCTCACTTTGGCAGAAACATGTTCTTTATAATAGGAATTTCATGTGCCTGCTGGTTTGAGCCTAAGAGCTTACGGTTTTGCGCCTGTGCTAGATGGGTTTAGTGTACAGGAATTATAAGAAATTTGAACTCTACAAGATTGTCACATGGTACTTTGGTTGACTGTAGCTTTTGCAGAGTTCCTGGTAGCTCTTTCATGGCTGGGTGCCTGTTGAGACGCCCCGGCGGCCACCGCAACAACAATGACGACTGCGACGGCCGAGGCAGCATTGATAGCAGCACTCCGGGAATAATCAGATGGCGATGACAATGATAACGATGATGACTATGATACAAAAACTACGAATATCATCTACTAGCCACAGCAACAACAACACTGATTGTTACCATGGTAGAACTTGCGATTGTATTGCAGTAGTCGCAATAAAGATAGTCATAATCAGAGTCAGTCCTGCACGCACGCACACACCCCACAGACACACATGCACCATAAGAACACAACAGTGACAAGACAATATGCAGCCACAGCATTAATTGGTGGCAGCAGCCGGCCCCAGCACCGGCCAACACCACCATCACGCTGCGTACAACTCTAAGAACTCCTGATTCTCGGGGAAGCACCGCCTGTCACAGAGCTCGACGTCGGCAGCGAACGGAAGAAAACCAGAACCTCCAAGATTCTTCACGGTTGTTGTTTGTCAGTCTAGGCTTATGCAGCGCAGGACCTAATTAGTGCTCTGTAAGGCTTCTTGTTGGGCTTTGCAGGTCTGCGGTCAGAAACCTCCAAGCCAAGAGATGAATGGAGTTTACTGAGAATCTGTAATGCCAGTTCGGCTTCTTCGGCTGCTGCCGCGACGCCCTGCCTCTCACACGCTCTATTCAAGCTTGCGAACGAAACTCTCCAACCCAGCCTACGGTTTGTGATGGTTTGTGAACGTCTGTACACACACGATATGTCTGCAGGCCTGCGTACAATTTGGACGCAGAGCTTCGGGTTCAATCATCATACAAGCCGTGGGTCTTTGAGGGATCAGAGGAACCTCTACAAAGGACATTGGCTTATTCTTGGATGACCCCTTCGAAAGCCTCGGAGTCTCAAGAACTTCACTAACGCACGCCGGAAAGAGTTTAAAACATCATAACTCTACATCTACTTCACAGGATGTGGAGTCCCGTTGGAAGAGCCCCTCCCTTCACCGCCTTCGCGAAAAACTACCAATATCAAGATCGTAATAACCTAAACTTCAACTGGCTCTCCGGGTCGTTGAGGGGCGTTTGTGTGTGTGTGTGTATGTGCGCGAAGTCATCACAGCACGTTCTGGTTGGAACTCATGCTTAGCTTCTTTTTGGGCGATGGAGTTGGGCCGGCTCGAATGCGTGCCTGGCACATCTTCTCATGCCCAGAGCATATTTATTTATGAATACTAAACAAATAAAACACTGTGGTATTTCTATGTTTACAAGTACACAGATACACGAAAATAACACAGGTTCAGGGTGTAGATCAAGCTGCAGATCCCTTCCAGCACGAAATTCATCTATAAAGCCGCTGCAACATGCTACCAGCATCTTCGGGTTCAGTGTTCATATTCCGGGATCAACGGCTCGGGTGTCTTCCAAGACTGTCCCGGCAATCAACGTGCCGATGCCAAAAAATGATGCATTGCTTGACATCAACCTCGTCTTGGAACTAGGGAGCTCTATGTTCTTCGGCCTCCATCACCGCATATTTGACGGTCGTCGCAATCCACACGGCTTAGTATATTGCTGCCGAGCCACTAGCATGAAAAAGCTGAATGCACCAAGAATGAGACCTCGAAAGCTCGGAAAAGGAACACGTCGGAACCTAACTATTACGTCAGCTGTGGCATCCGATGTCCAAAAGCCGTTTTCGCCATCCTAAGCCCTCAGCCCGAAACCCAAACCTCGAGCGAGGGCCGAACAACACTATGTAACGCCCCAAAGCCGTGAAGCTTGGGAGCCCAAACCCTCAAATCTTCATTCAAGCCCTGGCCTTGTGCGACCCTGGAGGTCACGGTTGATTAGACCATGAAATGTGGGGACTCTTCGACGCCGTGTCCTTCTTCTAGAGAGGGCCCGACGATGCATAAAACCGAAAGCCTGCTGGAGACTAACCAGCTTGTCGAACTGTGCATCTGGTTGTTTACCTAGGAACAGTATCACAGCAACTTGCGACCTTGCAAGTGCTGCCGAGATGGTAAGTGCTGCTGCGATGTGTGTAGATGCTATCACTTGCATGGCCCATGTCTTCCGCCTTCTTCTGTCCACGTCTGACCCTCACCCCAGAATCAGAATGTACTGCCTACATACACATGCTCTTGCAGGGTAGTAAAATCAAAGCTCATGCTGCTAGCATTGCAAACAAGTATGACCGTAGACAACATGTTCGTCAGGGACATGAGTAGTATGATCTTCAGTATCATCATCACAGCACCGCCGTCCGGATCATCTTTCGCACCAGCCGCGTTGTGATTATCACGGCAAGGACAAGCAAGCTAAGAAGTGCTGGCAGCAAGTCTGATACAGGCTGCTGTGCCACTTTCAATGAAACATGTAGAGGAAGCAAAGCTGACCGGGAGCTCTGCCGCGACAATCGAAAATGCTAGCAACTACGACCATCAGGCAACACTCACAGCCACCAACAGCGTCTACTGTCTGCTCGCCATTCTCCAGAGCATTCTCGCTATTGTCGCTACAAGTATTGTGGGCATCTACGCCGTCGCCGCCACCACGAACACAAGATATGATCATGATGGAGATCACAGCAATGAACACCATGTGTATGATCCTCTGGGAAAAACTCCAAGCACCATCTTGTACCACTAATCATCTCGGTATCTTCCGTACGCCCTCGTACCACTAGTCATCTCGGTATCTGAATTACGCCCTGATTACCCTCATGGTCCTTATCTCGACCATCGCAGTCATAGTTCGCAAGACACTACCTATAGGGTCTCAGAACAAGTAGTGCTAAGTTCGGCATTGGAACTCACGTGGCGAATTTGACCATGATGCCAGGACAACAAAACAGTCTCTCGCCATCAACATCTCGACCTTCACCAGATACCTTGAATCATGGGCCAGCAAGGTACTATCATGATCACCGCCGTCATCCCCAGCACCATCTTGCTGATCATCTTCATCATCAGCAGCAGCATCACATCGCCGTCATCACCAAAAGTCCTCCTGTCCATCCTCATCATCAACACTAACAAATGCATCTGCACGTACGCTATATTAACATAAACCACCATCAGTGGAAGCAGCAAGAACGAAGCTCACGGCAAACGCTAGTTGGCAGTTTCCGAAAATTAGGGGTACCGTATTTTGGGGCCCTTGTAATAAGGATCCTACTATTTAGGGCACTACATTAGGGTCCCATATTTTCGGCAACTTCCAGTTTTCACCTGAGATCCGAGCCCATCGGTGCCGGCATTCCAAGCCTTGGTAGGATCGTGGTCCGACTGTTGGGTGCACGTATGCGCGCGAGACCGCGTGTATAGACTAAGTGAAGCCTGCAGGTATAGATATAGATAGAGAGCTATAGGTAAATAAATGAATAGATATATGTATATGTATATATATATATAGATATACACATAAATCACCCGGGCTTGTTTTCTAAGCGTGGATCATGGGAGGGGCAACCTCGGATACGAATACATCGGCAGGGATCGAACCTCCGAAAAAACACACCAAATCTGTGCAACTCGGGTGTGAGGATCGAGCGCTTTGGGTCTCATTTAATATTGCAACTCCCCCCAAAATGTTTTAGCTTCCGAAGCCCAGACCGAATCTCTCTACCGCGCTGTGGCTGAGGATGAGGCAGGGTCGTGGCTGCCTGGCGTCCTCCCTCGCTGGATTCCCCTGCATAAGTCACGAAGGTGTGGGGTTGCGTGCTCCGGACTTCGGGTCTTACACTTGCGGCCTATGACAGCTTGCGGTAGGGTTCTACTCTGAACCCAGCCCTATACTCCAAGTAATTAGAGATAAACCTAACATGTCCAAACACGAACCTTTCCTCTCCCGAGCTCGAGGCCTTGAGAATTCCGATTCAATATGTCCAGATGAACTCATGGGAATGTCAGCTAGGGTACTCCGGGTAGCCCGGATCCAAGTCTTAAGTTGTAGATTCCTTAGGTTGGTTGTGGCAGCTGGCGCTTGACGGCTTTAGCTTCGTGGGCTGCAGGGCTGCCGGAAGTGTTGGAAAAGAGGATGGTGCAAGGGTACAGGACAAAAACCATATGCTAGTCTACAAACGTGCACTACACTGTCGCCTCGTCGAAGCAGCGGTCGCAGTAGTAGAAGTACTCGTCGTAGTAGTAGTAGTAGTAGTAGTAGTAGTACTACTACTACTACTACTACTACTACTACTACTACTACTACTACTACTACTAGTACTAGTACTAGTACTAGTACTAGTACTAGCACAAGAAGTACAAGAGTAGTAGTACAAGCAGGGCCGAGCTTCGCGCCTTTGTTTCCTTCTGCCTGGTAGTTGAGGCCCCCTGGTTCAGCCTTAGGGTGCCTCCTCCAACTCAGTGGCCGGTGAAACGCAGAACGGGTCCCTGACAGCAAAAGCTGCCGGGCCCTGGACGAGGCCCTGACCTTGATCTGGCCATCGCAAAAAATCCTAAACTCAGCCTCTCGAAGGACAATCGGATCCCAAACCCATGGTGCTTCCCCCAGCCCAAGCCTGAACCCTGGCTCTGAGCCCTGCATGGCCACAAACACCCAAACACACCTACACACACACACACACACCTACACACACACACACACACACACATGTATGTCTGAATCAAACCAAGAAGTGAATGTTGCGAGGTCCTAGCGCAGTCCAAAACAGAAACCAAATATCTGGCCGGGGCTTCGTCCGAGAGAAAGCATCTTTTGTATGGAGCGCTGCTTGATGTAAGTCCCAAAAGAGGGGCTCTGTTGAACTGTTTCAGCTTTGAGAGCTTCGAGTACAAATAAGTTTCGAAGTTAGACGAATGCCTAGCAGAGACAACCCTTACCATCAAACATGCTACGGAGACTAGTGCTAGCAGCAGAAATAGATAGTCGGTTGCAAGTCCTTTCCTTACTTCCGAAAGGTTCGGGCTTGATGAGTCTTGGCACAGTTGGGTGAGAAGGTTTAGCGGGGGTCCTCCGGGCCCATACACAATTCACTGCTTAAACTACGAACCCGATCATTGAAAGAAGAGTACCTTGTGTTGAGATTTGGGACGTGATTTTCATGCCTTAACTATTTATTCAGGGTCAACAAAGGCCACCCATCTGAGTTTCCCAGGGCGTCGGGACGATTTCGAGCTTCGACCGTAGAGATTGGAGGTGGTATAGACATGAAGGTGAACAGAGCTTTCGATTCAAGGTTTAGGACGGAATCTAACAGCAACCCACCCATCAGCTACTGCTGCACGAGGCAGAGGGACAAGCTCGTTCTCGTGAACTCCACTGCTATGGTGATGGCTCAAACTGTCGTGAATGAAACCAAACTTCGCCGCCGACTCATTTCAAGATGGTTGATACCGTTGCTGCTCTCACGGACTCAGGTTTATGAAACTACTACCGAGGTTACTTGCTTCTTGACACGTTGCGAGGGCGAGTGATTCGTCAATAGATCAGAATGTGGAACTTGGGGTGGCTCAGTCTAAGACATTGTGCCTACTCATCTCTAGCACTAAGGCCAGGACTTCACTTCGCAGCCAGTTTTGCAAAGACACGAAGTCGACGCAGGTGCGTTGGTTCAATATGTGGCGCAGTCGCAGCATGAATGCCAACGATGCGCCCAAGGAGCAGTGACGGCTTTATTATCATTAAAGCACGTCAACGCTTGCCGCCTCCTTCCCAAGCCAGCTGTTAAGGCATCAACCTGCTTCAGCCTCAGACCAGCAGCCGCAAAAACTGCCACAAGGCAGCCCCCCCCTCACCCACACAGACACACACAGCATAGTTTGCAGACGCATCTGCGATGTGAGTTTCTGAACCCACAGGCGCGGCATGACCGCAGTGTCGGAGCTGCCTACTACGGCAAGGCTCCGGAAGCATGACAAAGGCACCCAAACTTCCCCCAAGTCCCCAAGTCGCACTACTTTCTCAGGCAGAGCTGCTTAAATTCAAGCTGGCTTCAGTTACCGTAGGTTAGAAGCTCTTGAAAAACCACACTGGCTCCTACTCCACTACCACTGCTTACCGACACTGCTATACCACGAATGCTCCCCCAACATGCATACCCCTTCCGCCAGCAAACCTTCCCAATTTGGTCAGATTCATGGTGTTTTGCACTGGTGCTGCTGCTACCACCACCATCTCCTTCTTCTTCTGGCGTTGCCGCGACGGCGACTGCGACTGTACCGCCACTGCTGCCACCACCGCGGCGAAGATGCTGCCACCACTTTCACTTATCAAGTGCGAGGACGACTGTCACGGCTACCACGACTGCCATCGGGTGATTCCTTCAGGGTGGCCCCAGGGCCTCAGGGTTTGGGATCCCCATACCAGTATAGGTTTTAAATGTCCAGCAAAACAAGCCAGGACCAAAACAGCGTCGTACTGACTCCGCGCGAGACTGACATGGCGTGTGAATATTATTGCAACCGAGTTCGGATGCGTGAAAAACCTTATGTCCGTCTCAGGCCGACTGGCAGTGACTAGCAGCTTCATTCCCAATTTCTTCTCTGCCAATCCGACATTCCGGTTCTTGTGTAGAATTGAATGGAGGTTTAAGAGGAAGGTTGGATGCCTTGCATGTCTGCTTGGCT